AGTTTCGAACCGCTGACCTTAAGGTTCGCAGCCCGATTCGTAACCACTACGCTACCAGAGCTCCTATATATATATATATTTTTTTTTTTCCCCCTTAATTCTTCATGAATTCTATAGAGAAAGTGAAAGACAGGTCACAATGGGAGTAAATATTTGCAAATCATACATTAGACAAGGGACTAATATCCAGAAACAGAAAGAACTTACAACTTAAGAATGAAAATAACAATACTTAACAATAATAATAATAATAAGAATAAAAGAGCAAAGGACCTTAACAGACAGTTTCTAAATAAAATATTCTAACAGCCAAGAGGCAGACGAAAAGATGTTCATTGTTATTAAAAATAAACATAAAAGATGTCCAATTCATTATTGTTGTTAAGTGTTGCTGAGTCAGTTCTGACACATAGCAACCCTGTATAGGGTTTTTGAGGAGTGGCTGGTGAGCTTGAACCACTGACCTTGCAGTTCAAACGGACTTTACAGTCCAGAACATTAACCCACAGTGCCACACCACATCAGGACTCATTAATGACATGGCAAATCACAATAACAATGAGAGTCTACTAACCTAGTTGTTGTTGTTGTTGTTAAGTGCCGTCGAGTCGGGTCCGACCCATAGAGTAGGAAGGGAAAAATTTTTTAAAAAGGAAAATAACAACTGTTGATGAGGATATGGAAAAACTGGAACCTTCACACACTGGTAGTGAGAATTTAAATGGTGCAGTCACTTTGAAAACCAGTTTGGTAGTTTCACAAAAAGCTATAGATAGAGTTGCCATATGACCCAGCAACTCTACTCCTATGCAAAAAAACTGGAAGGATATTTTACATTAAAAACTTACACATGAACAAAAAACAAAAAACAACCTTACACATGTGTATTTATGGAGTCCTGATGTAGCACTGTAAGATAAGCACTGGACTGCTAACTACAATGTTGGCAGTTGCAAACCCAATACAGGGTCACTATGAGTTGGAGCCACCTCAACAGCACTTAACAACAATAGCATAATAACCCCAAAGTAGAAACAACCCAATGTTTATAAGTTCATGAATGGATAAACAAATTGTAATACACCCATAGAACAGAATATTGTTAATGTTAAGTGCCATGGAAGTGGTTCAGAATGGAGTATTAGTCATAAAAAGGAATAAAGGACTAATGCATGCTACATCATGGTGGACATTGAAAACATTATGCCAAATGAAAGGAGCCAGTCATTCAAGGACACATATTATATGACTATATGATACACTTATATGAAATGTTCAGAATAGGCAAATCCATAATGACTAAAAGTAGATTACTGTTGACACTGGTCAGGGCTAAGAGAAAATGGGGACTGACTATAAGAAATACAGGGTTTATTTTTGGGATGATAAAAATTTCCTAGAATTAGATATGGTAGACACCTGGTGTGGCGCTTTAGGATCAGCACTTGACTGCGAACCACAATGTCGGCAGTTCAAATTCACCTGCTGCTCCTTGAAAACACAATATAGGGTTGCTATGAGTCAGAACCGACTAGACGGTATTTAACAACAACACTGGTTGCAGAATTTTGTGAAAGTACAAAAAAGCCTAACGAACTGTACATTTACAAATGATATATTTTATGTTAAGTGAATTATATATCAATAAAGCTTAATTAAACAAACAAACAAACAACAAAACCAAGTAGTTAGTATTGCAAATATACTTTTCTAATTTAAAACTTACATTTTCTGTAAGGGTCATGTTTTCTTTGCTGACCTTTAATACTGCTGTCATTAATGCCAGATTTATGGTGTTGCATTACTTGATTTAGTTCTTGTGGTAAAAGTGTGCCCTGTAAATTGAAATTCTTATAAATTAAACAAAATCTTAGTATTATAACTACTTCTTTTTCTCAAGTTTCAATACAAAGTCATTTGTTATTTTTATAAAAATAGATAGCTCATTAGAAAAAAGTTAAGTAATGCAGAAGAGTAAAGAGAATTTAAAAACACCCCTCTAGTTCCCATCACCCATAAAGAACTATCATAATATAATAACTATTACTGCAGACATTTCTCTATTCATTAATTGGATAGAAAGAGGCACTGAAAACAATTTTACACAAATGCTATTTTTCAACAGAAAGCATTAAATATTGTTTAAATTAATATATAAAGACGCTAAAGTAAACAAGAGAAAATAACCTGTAGACAAATGCTTTTTTCACAACAGAAATATCCCTTTATATTAGCTTCAAAATAGTTCCACCTTTGAGGTGGGAGTGGGAAGTAAGTGTAAGGGGTGGGGAACTATAGAAAAAATAAAACTGGGTATGTGTAAGGTAAGGGATGAGTATCCCTGGGTTATTTAGAGCATTTTCTATTTTATTATGTTTTAAAATTTCCATAAAAACCTATTAAAATGAATAATTTCTTATTCTGCTATGAAAGTTAAGAATATTATTAGCTCATTTACATTCACTTTTACTTCTCTTTCTCCCCTTCCTGATTTTTCTTAAATACTTATACTGTCAAAGTTTTCAAATGATACCAGATAGTAAGACTGATTACAAAGCAACTGTATTTGAGATAGTATAAATAAGGACAGAATTAAATTACATATAAACGTAAAGATTTTTATCAAATTCTTTTGTGTTTTTGATACGGAGGAGAAGCCTGATGGCAAAATAAAACCAAGTAGTTAAAATGTCAACAAGTAAAAATGGAGGCTGGAGATATTTAATATAATTTTCTCACAATTTTACTTTGGGTAGCTCAATTTTTTTCTTCTGAAAACAGACAATCATGTGATAGCTGGTATCAGGCAGGGTTAGAAGTATTTGTGATATGCCTAAGTGTGAAGGAAGGTTCAATGTGGTGAAAGAGGTAAAAGATTTCTACCAGTATAGCACAATAGCTGGTAGGGTTTTTGACACTACGGAGACGGATCAGAATGTCATGATGAAAACATGGGTACAAGTAACTATTCTGTGAGTGTGTGTGTGCCAGGCATGAAAAAGATATACTTTGCATCCATTATCTTAATATCATGAAAATACTATTTATGTTCATAACAGTGCTGTGATATATTTTGATTCCATTTTATAAATGAGTAAACTGAGGCTCAAATGATAAGCTGTCACAAAGAACTAAATAATGGAAGAGATGACATTTGATCTCAGATTTATTTACCTTTAAAATCTAGCTTCATGGTACCACTTTAGAGAAAAAATGTGCTATAAATGTAATTAGAAAACAAATATTCTAGTGTTGACTCTAGTTCTTTGCGTTCTTTTAAAAAATGTGCTCTAGCTGAAATCTACATAAAAAAAGTCTAGCCTATACTGGCAAAAGACTGTTAACTTTATTGGCAAAATATAACAATATTTTTTCAATAAAAGCTAATTTTTTATTATGGTAACTTCTGAATTTCTCATCACATGAGAAATTAGGCTGCTTATTAACATTTCAGAATTTGTTGTTGTTGTTATGTGCCATCGAGTCGGTTCCGACCCATAGCGACCCTGTATAGGGTTTCCGAGGGTGTAAATCTTTACGGGAGTAGAAAGCCTCATCTTTCTCCCGCGGAGCAGCTGGTAGTTTCGAACCGCTGACCTTAAGGTTCGCAGCCCGATTCGTAACCACAGAGTTAATAATTGTTGTTGTTGTTATTAAGTGCTGTCGAGTTGATTCTGACCTAACAGTGACCGTGTTTAGGGTTTCCAGGGAGGAGCTGGTGAGCTTGAACCACTGACCTTGTATATCAAACTGACTTTGCAGTCCAATGCATTAACCCACAGTGTCACAACAGGACTACAAGAGTCATAATTGGGGTCTCATAATTCTTGGAGGAGTGCTGGTGTGGCGCTGTGGGTTAATGCGCTGGAACATAAAGTCAGTGTGAACCACAAAGTCGATGATTTAAACTCATCAGCCACTCCTCGGAAACCTTATACAGGGTCGTTATGAGTTGGAACCGATTCCCCAGCACATAACAACAACAATTCTTGGAACACTAAGGATGTAAAAAACATGAGTATGAATGATCATTTATACCAGACGATTCGTCCAGTAGATTCTGAGAATCATAATATCAAGTTGTTGAATTCTATCTTCAGGAATTAGTGTGATAACATGAATAGCAGAACTTCACCTAGACTGTGGCAAAACAGTGAGAGAGGAAAGGGATTTGGAGTGGAAGGAATAAAAGGAGCACATTTCTAGAAGTAAAAATTATCTGCTCATGGAAAAGGGAAAGCAAAGAGACCAATCTGACTGGAATGGATGATTTTACCAAGTAGTTGGGCATGCTTTGTATAAATCAGACAAAGGTAGATTATGGAAAGTCATAGATATTACTTTAAGGAGTTAAGGTTAGTTTTTGTAGTACTGAACAAGGAATCCTATACATTCTAGAGTGTTATAGGAACACAGTACTTTAGGTATGGAAAAGATTATGGAAGTCATCTAAATCTAACGCTTTAATTGAATAAATAAGCAAAAGAGGCCCTGGAAAATGACAAGATTTCCTTAGTTCTTGTCACAAAATCTGATTTCCTGATCCAGATTCCAATGCCACATTCATCACACCACACGACTTCAGGGCATAAATTGAGTCCAGACCCAGAAGCTCTTATTAATTAGCTAGACACTACCCAAATATGCCTTGGGACTAACACAGATGAAAGAGCTCTCAGAAAAGATTAATTGGAGTCATTGTGTGGTGCTTCAGGATAAGCAATGGACTGTAAAGTTGGTCTGAACAGCAAGGTCAAAGGTTCAAACACACCAGCAGCCCCTGGGAAACCCTATATAGGGTTGCTATGAGTTGGAACCGACTCAACACACTTAACAACAACAAACAATGTAAGTAAGTCTAAAGGGAAAGAAGAAATGGTAAGAGCAGAAAGGAAGTTAGTCCAGGTTTGAGATGACCATCTAAGGTCCAGTTATCTGGAATTTACAAGGAATTGAAAGTTTATGGTTTCATTAGCAATGCAATTTTAGAAAGAAAAACCAAATAAATATCTACTCCAAGCTTTTGAGATTCTATGGCTGGGAAATGGTGAGATAACCAAAAGAAATATGGATTTACATGAGGTCAATTCTGAGACATATTTAGATTGAGGTGATGGTAGGAACTCCTGCTACACCTATGCTCTAGAAAGCTGGAGATTCTGAATTCAATACTGAGTGAGAGGTTGGAACTAGAAATATAGATTGTGTGAAATCAGCACACAGGAAAGAGCTGAAGCTACCAGTTAAGGAATACAGCAAAAGAGAAAACAAATAAAAATAAACTGATGTTAAGTTTTGGAGAACATGTCCAGTGAAACAAGAATTAAAAAGTTGGACAAGGCCAAGGGTAATGTTTTCTTTTAGAACAAAATTCTTTTAAAGTACTTGTCCCTTATTTCTCTTCTCCCTGTATCTTGGTAAACCCATTCTATTTAAATCTTTTATTCCCATCATTTCACTGAAACTGCTCTTGTCAAGATTTCCAATGATTTCCATGTGATAAACCTTACGGCCAATTCTTAGTTATCACCTTAATTGAGCTGCTAACAGCATCTGACAAGTTGATCACTTTCCTATAGACATCTAGATTTTACTTGGCATCAAGAAAGCCATGCTCTCCTGGTTTTCTTCCTCTCTCATAGGCTGTTCTAGATCAGTGTCTTTTGTCAGTTTCACTTAATTTTTCTGATTCTTTACAGATAAAGACTTAGGGATTAGACTTCTCTATCTACATCCATTTTCTTTACTTTACATTAACATATATAAGCTATTTGGCCAAATATAACTGTCCAAAGCTGAATTTCTGATTTTCATCAACAAAGCTACTTGGCCTGCAATCTTCCCCAACTCAGGGAATACCAAAATGCTCCTTGGAAGTCAGGATGACAAGACTTCATCTCTCTTGCTTTGGACATAGTATCAGGAGGGGCCAGTCATTGGATAAGGACATCATGCTAGGTAAAGTGGATGGTCAGCTAAAAAGAGGAAGATTCCCAATGAAATGGAGTGGCAGTAGCAATAAGCTCAAGTTTAACAATGATTATGAGGATGAGGCAGCACTAGGCACTGTTCTGTTCTGCTGTGCATAAGGCCACTATGAGTTGGAATTGACAAGAAGGCACCTAACAACAACATCCTTTCAGTTATTCAGATCTACCTTTAGCTAGAAGGCCTCAAAATGCCCTACCCACACTTGAGTTACAGTCAAGTAATCAGGTGCCGCCTTCATTTCCCTCCCTGGGCCAGAAATGCTTTTACATAAGAGGGGTTTCAAAAGGTTTGTGAAATAATTCTAGTATATTTTATTTTACTTCTATCTTTTTACTTTTTGAAATACCCTGGTATATATATATCTGCATTCTTAGCTCAAAATGTCTATATTTAGAGGCTTCTATATCAATGGACCTTAAGTCTTTCCTAAGCATCTCTGTTGAGCCCTCATTATGAGGGCCCTTGAAGACATTTTTCTTCACTTTTACTCAATCTGTTCATAGCCTTGCCTCTTCTCCCTCATCCCGGACCGTGGGCCATAAAATAGCAAAAGCCTATTTGGGGGCTCCTTCTGCAATGAGATAATCCCCCAAGCCCATCCATCTGCATTAATGTATCTGTCCTTTGCCAATGCCTTTTGCTGGTGAAAAATGGAATGTTGGGGAAGTCAGCACCTTCTTTCTGATTTCTAGATTATACTATCAACATAAGTGACTCCCTGGTATGGCACTGTAGGATCAGCACTGAATTATGGACCACAAGGTTGGCGGTTCAAACCCACAGTTGTTCCTTATCAGGCTATCAAAGCTGTTGTTTAAGTGATATTGAGTCAGTTCCAATTCATAGCAACCCTATATAGGGTTTCCAAAGATCTGATGGTGAGTTAGAATCACCAATCTGGTGGTTCATACCGACCTTGTTGTCCAGTGCTTATCGGACATCGCCGCACCACGAGTCCTAGTAACTAGTAAAAATTAGAGTAGGAATTCATTCCTTTTCCCCTTCCTCCCTTTGGCTGAGTCTCTACTCTCTTAGCAGCATTTCTTTCTCCTCTAAAACTTTATCAAGGAATGTGATTTTGTTTGCTCATATGTAAAGACAATCAATTGCCAACAGAAAACTTATACTTAAATGGAAACAAATACATTAATGAAAACCAATAGGGCCCTTGAAGATTTTTAAATGTAGTTATCATTTTGGGAAAAAAAAAAAAAACTTTGAATAAAGAGAAAAAAAATTTCTAAATTTTTACTTATAGGTCCAACATTTTAAAAATACGTCTGTAAAAAGATGTACATTTATGGTTACAACTGTCATTTTCTTTCTTTTGTGACTTAAGGAAAAAAAGAATCACTGCATGCTTAAAAGAGAAATATAAAAATATTTATTATGTAAATGAATTGTCTATCAAACATGGTATACTAACCTTCTCTTGAATAGCTGGCTGAAAATATTGACCCTTTCCAGATCCTTGTAAGGACTGCCAAATGTTACAAAATTCATCATCTTCTTTAGGAGATACCTAGCAAAACACAAGCAAATTCATCAGGATATAAAACATGAATAAAGATTCTTATTAAAAATCAAACAATTTATTCTCTAGTACTAAAATAGGTATAATTTGTACATAAACATATGCTATGAGGAAGAAGACATTCAGGTGGCCAACAATCATATGAAGACATATTTTCAATCACTAGTCATTGTTGATGTTGTTGTTAAAGTGCCTTCGAGTTGATTCCGACCCACAGAGACCCTGTATAGGGTTTCTGAAGAGTAGCTGGTGAGCTTGAACCACTGACCTTATAGTTCAAATGGCTTTGCAGTCTGGCACATTAACCCACAGCGCCATACTAGTCACTAGAGAGATGCAAATCAAAACAACAATGAGATATTGTATCACCCAAGCATTAATAGCAAAGTTCAAAAAAGCAGAAAACAAATGCTGGCAAAGGTTTGGAGAGACTGAGACCTGCCTGCCTACATTACTAGTGTATAATCGTCTTTTATGTTGTTAAAAAAAGGTATTTGCAATGAAGAAGTCATTGATCTTGCAAAATTCTATCATGCGATCTCCAGCATCATTTCAATCACCAAGGCGTTATTTTCCAACTACTGATCCTTCCTCATTGTTTCCAATTTTTCCATTCCAATCACTACATTTTGACTGCATATTTGATCAATTTTAGACTGAAGAAGTTAGCAGAATTCTTCAATTTCATCATCGCTGGCTTTAGTGTTGGTGTGTATATTTGAATAATACTGGTCTTCTTTGTAGGCATATGGATATTATCCTGCTACAGACAGCATTATACATCAAGATAGATCTTGAAATGTTCTTTTTTTAAAAAACTGTCTATTGTGAATTATGTGATAGTTTACATGGGAGAATATTAGTTTCACATTTATCCTATCGTGTATTGTTACATTTGAAATGTTCTTTTTGATGATGAATGTGACATCATTCTTCTTTGTCATTCCCAACATAATAAACTATATGATTTTTTTATTCAAAATGGCTAATACCAGTTCATTTCAGCTTACTAATACCTAGAGTATCAACGTTTATGTGTTTCATTTTATTTTTGACAACTTCTAATTTTCCTAGATTCATACTTCTTGCATTCCATATTCCAATTATTAATGGCTGTTTGAAGCTGTTTTTCATCATTTTGAACTGTACCCCATCAGCAAGTGAAGGTCCTGTATTATCATGGTCAACTCTACTTTGAGGAAGCAGCTCTTCCCCAGGCATATTTTGAGTTCATGTCAACCTAAGGGGCTCACCTTATGGCAGTATACCTGACAACATTCTGGTGCTACTTATCATGTCTGAGTAGTCAATATTCTGGTGCTATCTGGCAGTGTTCCACTGCTATTCATCAGGTTTTCAGTGGCTAAACATTCAGAAGTAGTCCGCCTCTCCTTCTTCTGAGACTTAGTCTAGAAGTTAAACTAAAACCTGTCCACCATGGGTGACTCTGTCAGCATTCAAAATACCAGTGGCATAGCTTCCAGCATCACAGCAACATGCAAACCACTACAGAGCAACAAACTGACAGACTCGTGTAAGTGGTGGAGCATACAGGGGCAAAAGGATGAGAACTTGTTAGATATTATATAACATCTTAAGGCATGAGTTGCTGGGTGTGGGGGCTAAGACCATAGTCTCAGGGGACACACTGGTCAATTGGTATACCATAGTCCACAAAGACAATGTTCCACATCCTATTTTGTAACAATACACAAAAAGACAGGTATATTTAAACAATACTGCAGTTTACCAAAAGACACATAGGAAAGTTCAAACCATAAGTCTTGGGGAATTCTAAAAATCAGTGTTTTGGCTAAGTTATAAACATGTCTATAGTGCAATTAATTACATAACTCTGATAATGTTAATGACTGTTATAAGATCAGTTTTTAAAAATAAAACAAAAAAACCCCACACCCAAAACATAGGATGTTGAAGACATTTTGCTTGTTGACTTTCTGGAGGGCCAAAGAGCAGTAACATCTGCTTATTATGAGTATTTTGAGAAAGCCAAAGCTTTACCAGAAAATAAGATTCTCTGGGTAAGCTTCACCAGAGAATCCTTCCTGACCATGACAATGTCCCTGTTCATTCCTCTCATCAAGCACAGGCAATTCTGTGAGAGTTTAGATGGGAAGTCTTTAGGCATTTTTCCTTACAGTCTAGACTTGGCTCCTTTGACTTCTTTTTGTTTCCTAACCTTAAAAAACCTTTAAAAGACACCCATTTTTCTTCAGTTAATACGTAAAACAGACTTCATTGGCCTGGTTAAATTCCCAGGACCCTCAGTTCTTTTGGGATGGACTAAATGGCTGGCATCATCACTCATAAAAGTGTCTGGCATCATCACTCATAAAGGTGGAACTAATGTTGAGAAAGTTTCTATTTTTTAATTTTACCTTTTAGTTTCATTTTCTTTTTCATGACTATATATGTTTCTGATTCTCACATGGCATTTCCTATTAACCTTTTGAATTCCTCTCACATGTGTTTAAGTGTGTGTATGTATGCAATATTACTGTCTGTTGGTTTCAGAAGGAATGGGCTGTACCGTACCAGATATTTTGCATTTCTACTTCTACAATAAAAAAGGTAGCTGGTTTAAAAAAAAAAAAAAAAAAAAGCACCCCAAACAGGTGACTAGCATCTGGGATCACTCATGAGCTACCATCTAAGAGAAGAACACAATGGTGACTGGCTACCACTACCAACTGCTCTGAAAAGGATCACATTAGCAGGTCCCAGAGAGAGTGGAAGAAAACGTGAAACAAAACTCAAAATTGTAAAGGAAAAAAAAAAAAGACCAAGCTTACTGGTCCGAAAAAGACTGGAGAAACCCTTGGCTACTCTTCAGGTGGAAAGGAACTTACCCTCTTGGCCCAATTTTAATCCAAGCAGTAGATAGGTACATAAGGAGAACAACAATACTAGCAAAGTATGCTCACCATTGAATGGTAAATCATTCAGCATCAAAAGGGCAACATTTACTTAGGAACAAAATTGAGAAGGGATAAGAAGGTGGGTAGAGTGGAAATAGGAAGCACAGAGAGGAAGTGGGATAACTGTTGTTGCAGGGAGAGGATTGCAATCATTGAGATGAAACAAAGTGTATTATTTGTTGTATGTAAAACTGATGATCTTGTCTATAAACAGTTGTTGTCACTCAATTCACAACAAGAAGTTTCTTAAAAAGGTATTCTATGAGGGAGCTGTACAGGGTCGCTATGGGTCGGAACCGACTCGACGGCACTTAACAACAACAACAACATGAGGGAGCTTAAAACGTTCATGATAAAATGGAATTACAAAAAAATTTCCATGAATTTTTTTTAAGCTCTCTTGTACTGGTATGAAACTAATCTTTATATGAATGGGTATCGAATGATTTAATTAAAAAGTACAACAAACTTTTTAAACAGATTTTCCAAAATAAGCACTCTGACCAATAGTCTCCCAATACACTAATAAATTATCACAAACTAACATCTAAATATTTTATTTTTGAAACCTTCCTTTCACACTAAGGTAATATAATAGATTAACAAATTAGCTCTCACTTATGAGAAAGTGATTCTATGCAGAATAAAACTAAAAAAATATGCACCACAATTTAACAGCAGTAACTATGAGATTTGAGAGTTTTTATGTTTGTATTTCCTTGGTTACTATCTACACATCTGTGTTCTCTATTTGTTCTATAATAAACCTACATCATTTAGGTTGAAAAATATTTGGTTGAGGGAAAGATACGGGGCCAAGGAATTAAGTAAAGTTAGTGTGGCACTGTGGGATAATGTACTGCACCGTAAGTTGTTTGAATTGCAAGCTCACCAGTTGCTCCTCGGAAACCCTACACAGGGTTACTATAAGTCAGAACTGACTTGAGGCACTTAACAACAAGAAGTGTCTTAAACAAGAAAACACAAATTTTGTCCTGAAATGAAATAAAGGAAATCATTCATGAGTTCCTGGTAGAAACCAGAAAGTGGGTTTTGCCTTTTAAATGTGGTAAAGATATATATAACAAAACATTTATTGTTTAGACATTTTTTACGTGTAAAATAAGAGTATGAAAATTGTTTTCGATAATCAAGCTTTTATTTCAATAACTTTGAAATTTACGTCATCTATAGCAGATGCTGCTGCTGTGGTTGAGGTACTGTCAAGTCCGTACTGACTCACAGTGACTTTATGCACAACAGAATGAAACACTAGCCAGTCCTGCATCAACCTCATAATCACTGATACACTTGAGCCCATTGCTACTGCCATTGTGCCAATCCATTTCACTGGCACTCTTCCTCTTTTTTGCTGACCCCCCCACCCACCCCAGACACACTTTACCAAGCATGATGTCCTTCTCCTGAGACTGGTCCCTCTTGATAATGTGTCTGAAGTATGAGAGACAAAGTCAGGCCATCTTGACTTCTATGGAACATTCTGGCTATACTTCTTCCAACAGATTTTTTGTTCTTCTGGCAGTCCATGGTACTTTTAATATTCTCCTCCAGTCTTCCTTATTCATAGTATAACTTTCATAAGGATAAGAGGCTGTTGAATATAACACTGCTTAGGTTAGGTGCACATTAGTCCTCAAACTGACATCTTTGCTCTTGAACACTTTAAAGAGGTCTCGTATAACAGAGTTGCCCAATGCAATATGTTGTTTGAATTCATGACTGTTGTTTCATGAGTACTGATGGTATGGCTGATCTGAGCAAAATGAAGTCTTTGACAACTTCAATCTTTTCTCCATTTATCTTGATGTTATTGACTGGTCCAGCAGTGAGGACTTCTGTTTTCTTTAAACTGAGTCATAACACATGCTGAAGGCTGTGTTCTTTAATTGTCATCAGTATTTTAAGACCTGTTTGCTTTCAGCAAGCAAGGCTGTTTCATCTGCATATTGCAGATGCCATGTTCTTCTTCATATAATCCAGCTTCTCAGTTTGTTTGCTCAGCATACAGACTGAATAAGTATGGTGAAAGGATACATCCCTGGCACACACCATTCTGATTTTAACCATTCAGTGTCCCCTTGTTCTGTTCAAATGAGTACCTTTTGGTCAATGTATATGTTCGTGATAAACATAATTCAGTGCTCTGGAATACTCATTCTTCGCAATATTGTCATGATTCACACAACTGAAATTCTTTGCATAGTCAATAAAGCACAGGCAAACATTGTTCGGGTATTCTCTGCTTTCAGCCAAGATCCATCTTTGTCTGAATCTGGCTTGAGCCTCTGGTAGTTCCCTATCAAGGTACTGTTGTAGTTGTTCTTGAATTATCTTTAGTAAAATTTACTTGTGATATTAATGATACTGTCCAGTGATATCCACATTCCACTGGGTCACCTCTCTTTGAAATGGGCACAAATATGGACCTCGTCCAATCAAATCAGTTGGACACATAGCTGTCTTCCAAATTTCTTGGCATAGATGAGTGAGTGCCTCCAGTGCTGCATCAGTTTGATAGAAGATTTCAATTTGTATTCCATCAATTCCCAGAGCCTTTTTCTTTACCATTGCCTTCAGTGCACCCTAGACTTCTTTCTTGTCTTCTTAATGACTTTCTGCTTTCTTCTTGTATGATGTTCTTGATGTCATCCCACTTCAGTCATCAGTGTCTAATGCATCAAATCTGTTCTTGAGATGATTTCTAAATTCAGGTGGGATATGTTCAAGGTCATATTTTGGCTCATGTGGACTTGTTTTAATTTATAGCAGATAGCATGGGGTAGAGTGTATAAGAAATAAATTTAGATGCTAATTTGAAAAATAAATATATAAAGAGAAAATATGTATAGTCTCAAGCTCATTATTTAAACAAAATGATTTTTTTTATGTAACTGTAATTTTATAATAGTTAAAATGCTATCAAATGCATTGTTCGGCTTATAATAATTTTAGAAATTTGGAATTGACTTGTTCCAAACTTTTTGAAGAAGGAAAAACTAATTTAAACTAGATATTCAATTAGTTATTAATCAACTATTATGTACACAGTGTTTCTTTGATTTGTAAAAAGGATACTGATATTAAAGACTGAGTGTCTTACTTGAGTAGGAACAAAAAGTGATTGAGGGGAATGGTTGAGGCCTCCCAAACGCCCTGATGAAACTGATGAATTCGAGCAATAATGATTCACAACTGGTTGAGGTTTCACTATGGCTGTCAACTTCTGATTTCCAGTTTCAGAGCGACTCCCGTGAGAAAGATTCACTAAGGCACTTGTTGGCAGTCGATAACCTCTACCAGGTAAACACCTAAAAATATAATAATATTAGCGTTAGAGGGAAAGAATATTACATGTGCTAGGGGGAAGGAAAATAAAATAAATTTTTAGGGGGGAAGACAGTCCATCATCAAGGACTCCTGGAGATATAACAGCTGTATGCTACTATGAACAAATTGGTAGTTTCAACCAGCAGTTCCACAGGAGATAGAGTTGGTGTTCTGCTTTCTGTAACGATTACAACCCAGGAGACCCTACAGGGCAGTTTAACTCTGAGTCAAATCAACCTGACAGCACCCAGCAAGAAGCCCATATTCAGAATTAATAAACAAATACAGCATTTGGAGAGCATAGATAGGAAAGTCTTGCAGTTACCAGTCCAGTGTGAATCCTACAGAATCACAACAGTGCCGCCCTCTTTCCCTGTTGTTGTTAAGTGCCATCAAGTTGGTTCTGACTCATAGCAACTCTGTATAGGGTTTCTGAGGAGTGGTTGGCAGGTTTGAACCTCTGACCTTGTGGTTAACAGACCAATGTTTATCCTACAGCACCACACCAGGAGTTCCCCCTCTTCCCCTAGTTAATTAATATTCATCCTTCAAGTCCCACCTTAAATATCACTCCCTCAAACATGCCTTTCTGGTGCTCCTGATAATCAGGATAGGTATCCAAGTTGTAAAAGAGAACAGCGTTCTGAAGGTGACCACTTGGTATAAGGAGTGCTGTTGGTTGTAGCTGCTGTTAAGTTGGCTCTGATTCATGGAAAGCCTCTCTGTACAACAGAATAAAATGGTATGTTTCATAATAACTGGTATGCTTAAGTCCACTGCTGTAGTCACTATGAATTCTGAGTATCTCCCAACCATGGGGAGATATCTTCTAGCACTAACTAATATCATTGATTCGGTTTTGACTTACAGCAACCCTGTAGAGGGTTTCTGAGGCTATGAATCTTTAACGGAGCAGAAAGCCTCATTTTTCTCTCATGGACTGGCTGGAGGATTCGAACTGCTTACCAACGCACAATCCACTATGACATCAGGGTCATTAATAAAATTAGAGGAGAAAAGAGAAACTAAGTTAAATTGTGTTTAGTTTTCCTGCTAATTTTTAGAAGATGGACAAGAAAAGTGGGAAGTATTTCATTTTATCCTCACAATAACCTAGTGAAGTATGTATCTTCAGTACAGATGAGGAAACTGATGGTCAGAATGCTTCTAACTAACTTATCCAAGGTAACGCAAACTTTAAGTGGGAAAGTAACACTTTAATATACCATGATGCCTCTTATTCTGTCATGACCCTTTCTACTATAATTTTAATCTTTCTTTTTATTGATGCTTCCCAAAAATATACTTAATCTTACCCATGGCTTACAAGTCCCTGCACAATAAAGACACTGCTCTTATCTTACACTTAAGCGTAGTGATTATGAATCGGGCTGTGAACTGCAAGGTCAGCAGTTCGAAACCACCAGCTGCTCCACGGGAGAAAGATGAGGCTTTCTGCTCCCTTAAAGATTTACAGCCTCAGAAACCATGTTCAGGGGCGCTATGGGTCGGAACCGACTCAATGGCACTTAACAACAACTTCACTTAGTCTCTGAAGCTTAGCCACAGTAGCATTCTTTCAGCTCCTTAATGAGTGAAAATGCCCTTTATTGCATGTTGTCCCCTCGCCCTGAAGCCCTTTTCACTCTTCCTTCCTCTTCCTCTGTTGTTGTTGCTGTGTGTCATTCAGTCAGTTCAAACTTAGAGCAGCTGATGGTTTTGAGATTCCAACTTTGTGGTTACCAGTCCTGTGCTTATCCTATAGTGTCACACTAATGCCAGCCTCTTTTCCTAGTTAACTATTATTAATTCTTTAACAGCTTAAGTATCACTCCCTCAAACATGGCTTTCTGGTACTCATACATGTAATAGCGATCTGCACCACTCTTTCCAAGCATTAAGCAATTTTAATTAACTGATCATATTGTAATTAGTTGCTTAGTTTTCTCCTTCAATAGCTCTACTGAGGGTAGAAGTTATGCCTGTTTTATTCACAGTTATATCCCAAGTATCAAGTATGTTGTCACATAAAATATCAAGTGAAACTCTGGATGACAAAAGAAACAAGTAAACAATGTAAAATATAATCACACAGATACATTCCCAAACATTTACAAAGTGCAAGTAACATCTAGAAATACAAACCTTATTGTTAAACCTCCAGGAAATTCTTCATCAAATAATACTTCAAATAGTACATCAGCTTCTCTATTAGCTATTAAAAGAGAGAAAGGGAGTTGGGAAGGAGGAAGAGGATTAAAAACACATGAGGAAATCAGCAAATAATTATTTGAGCACTCAAAATAATTTATTGTTCATATTTGTATATTATGGATATGAAAACTGGTAAAATAATAAAATGACCTTCACCTATGATAAGTAACAGAAAGCCAATACTGTAGAAAACCATTGTGCCCCATTTCCCAATTAGCTAACAGTTAGTTTCTATTTCATATCTATGATTCCTATATATTTCTTTATACTTCAACTACAAATGTATGCTGGTAAGCGCTGTCGAGTCTGTTATGACTCATAGTGACACTGTATAGGGTTTCTGAAAAGCAACTGGTTAAGTTTGAACCATCGAATTGGCAGTTCAAACTGACTTTGTGGTCCAGTGCTAATTCTACAATGTCACACCAGGACATGTTGTTGTTGTTAATGTTCAGTGCCATCTTGTTGGTTTCGACTCATAGCAATATATCCCTAAAAGTATGTAGTACATTTTTCAAGTTTTTAACCACTATACATATGATATCAAAGAGAATAAACTCTTCTGCCATTTACTTTTATTTAGTTCAACACTGAATCTGTGGGATTCATCAATTTGAATATATGCTCAGTTTTCTGGATGTACATTATGCTATTTATGGAAATACCATAATCTGTCTATTCTACTAATGAACAGTGAGGTTGTTTCTGACTTTTTGCTATTATAAACAGTCTGTAAATGCTTCCTATACAAGTGATTGTTTGCTGGGAATGTACTGTTGTATTTTGCTTTTAAACTGTTTTATCTGGATTTAAATGACATAAATTATACTAACTTAAAAGGACACAATTTGATATGTTTTATCATTTACATGGGGAGCAGTAGCTCCATAAGATAAGCACTGGACTGGGAACCACAAGGTTGGCGGTTTGAGCCCATCAGCCACTCTGCAGAAGAAAGATGAGGTTTTCTGCTCCTGAAAAAGATCTAAAGATTTGGACACACTACACAAGGTCGCTATGAGCCAAAACCAACTCTATGGCACTTAACAACATCGTACACATATAACCATGAAGTCATCATAATTAAGATAATCATGCCTGGAATTTATTTTGTGTCCTTTTATAATCTAACTCTTCCTTTCTTAAACACCACTAAGAATCTGCTGTCAGATTTGTATTTATACAATGTTATATAAATGGTATCATACAGTATACTTTTTTGGTATGGCTTCTTTCACTCATCATACTAATTTTAAGTCATCCATGTTATGTGTAATTTTTTCATTTCTTATTGTTATCAGTATGAGTTGTATGAATATCCAATACGTTGTTTATCCCATCATCTACTTATGGCAATTGAATTGCGCCCAGGGTTTTGGTTACTACAAATAAAACTGTTATGAAGATTCATGAATAAGTGTATTTGAGGACATATGTCTTCATTTCTCTTGGGTAAATATCTGGAATGGAATATCTGGGTCCCGGTGTGGCATTGTAGTATCAGCATTGGACTGTCAACCATAAGGTTGGCAGTTCAAACTTACCAGCTGATCCTTAGAAACCCTATACATGGCTGCTATGAGTCAGAACTGACTCAGAGGCACTTAACAGCAAAAACAATATGGAAGACTAATGCTTAATATTATAAGTACCTGACAAAAAATTTTCCAAAGTGATTGTATCATTACATACTCACAAACAATGCATGTGAGTTCTTGTTGTTCTGCATCCTTGCTAACACTTGGTAGAGTCAATCTTTTACATTTAAATAATTGTAGTTGGTATGGTGTGGTAGGATCAGCACTGGCTCACTAACCACAAGGTTGGCAGTTCAAATTTACCAGCTGCTATTCGGAAACCCTATACTGGTTTTAAACCCTATGCTATGAGTTACTCGACAGCACTTAACAACAATAGTTGGTGTGTGATATGATCTTATTTTAGCTTAAATTTGCATTTCCATAACGACTAATGAAAGATGTTGAAAATCTTTGTGTGCACATTTGTTATCCATATATCTTTTGTAGTGAAATATATATTCAACTATTTTGCCCATTAAAAAATTAGGTTATCTTATTATTGAGTTTAAAAAATTCTTTATATAAGTAAAGAATTTTGTTAGATGTTTTGTAAATATTTTCTTTCATTTCTGTGATAGTGTCTTTTAAAGAGCAAAAGCTTTTGAAATTTGGATGAAATCCAAATTATACTTCTTTATATAGTTCAGTTTTTTTTTTTTTGGTTCTGTTTAAAATATCTTTGCCAAACCCTAGATTGATAAGATTTTCACCCCGTTTCCTTCTAGAAGTTCTATAATCTTAGCTTTCATATTTGAGTTAATTTCTACAGGGGTTCATTTTTTACATATAGTTATCTAGTTGTTCCTTCACTGTTTGTTAAAAACATTACTCTTTCTTCACTGAATTACCATTGTTAGAAAATCAGTTAACTGTATATGTGTGAATCTGTTTTTGGACTTTATATAATTGATCTATGTAGAATGGCATGGTCCTATGGTAGACTGGAGTCCTGGTGTGGTGCTGTAGGATAAGCACTGGACTACAAAGTCAGTTTGAACCACACGACTTGGCAGTAAAAAGTCGCTTCTTGGAAACTATATACAGGACTAAGATTTTGAGCATCATTCTATAGGATAAACACTAGTGTGCTAACTGCAAGGTCAGTAGTTCAAACCAGCTGCTCCTTGAAGACCTCATACAAGGTTGCTATGAGTTGGAACTGACTTGACGGCACTTAACAACAACAACTTATGCCAATCCACATTGCTGTCATTGCAATAGCTTTTAATAAGTTTTGAAATCAGGTATTATTACTTCTCTAATTAGTCTAGATTCTTTGCTTTCCATATGAATTTTAGAACCAGCCTGTCAATTTTTACAAATAGGATGCTGGGATTTTGAATGATAGTGCTCTGAATATGTGAATCAAAACAAATGACATCTTAACAATATTGAGACTTCTGATCCACCAACAAAGTACATCTCTCCATTAATTCTGAGTGTGTTTAATTTCTCTCCGCAGTGTATGGTGTTTCTTAGCATACTTACTGGTTCTTTTACATGTTATGTTAAATGTAAGCCTTAGTAGATATATTTAATAAAAATTTTTTTTTTAAGTTTCAATTTCTAACTATTCATTGCCAGTATCTGGAAATATAGCTGATTTTTGCATACCTTGCATATAATTTAATCAGATATTACTATCAGAATTACAAGAGGTCTTGTTATATATTCTAACCAGCCCTTGGTGTTTCTAAAGGTTGGTGATATTTATTAAAAATCTTCTACAATTTATAGCTAAATATATGAAACCATTTGTTCTCACTTTTCCTTTATTTCTAGAATTACATACCTAAATATGGTATTACTTTTATTTTGGGAGTTTTTAGAGAGACAATTAAAGAGATTTTTGTAAGCCAAAGGGCATCATTTCTCTGATAGTATTTTTGTACATAATTTAGCGAAATTAACAAATTTAAATTAACATAAAAATTTAATTTTCAATTATTTTAACTATAAATTCATTATGTTTGTTTCTCCACAGAAACCATGAGATTTTAATAAAAATTAAGACCAATCTCTGAGCAAGATTCAATGAAAAATTAATTAAGGATGGATGATAAATTTTTTTTTCTTAGTTTCATGAAGACATTCATACTCATCAAAGCCTTGTACAATTGTAACTGGTATAAAAAAACCTCCAAATTCTCAGCAGGCCTTTCTCAACTTACCGTTTTTTTTAAACGACTTCCCAAATGATTATACAAGATCAAAAGATGAATTTCTGCTGCAAAATATAACCTGACTGCTTCTTGGCCTTTTGGCTAAGATTAATTAAAAAAATATATATATACTAAAATGAAAAGAAATTACAACATATGAGGATGTAATTTACCCCCTGATTTATAGATGCCTGCAGCACAGAAAAAAGGAACACAAATTTCTGTTTTATTTTATGGTATAAATACAGTTGAAGACACGCCAAGGATTGTAATCTTACCCCCTTTAATGCCTATAATGGTGCCTCGAAGGCCAACAGGAACTGAAAAGTTCTCCCTCACATTTACAACACGGTCAAAGAGTCGAAATTCTGCATCGCGATCAGGAATTACTCCATGTTGCTGTTCTAAAGGCTGAAGAAAAGAACGCTATTCATTCTAATTTGAAAAGACAAAAAATGTGTTTTTCCATATCGTTAAATAAATATATTAAAATAAAATTTATTCCTTCTACATTTTCAGAGTGAAAGCAAACACTGTGAGTTCTTTGGTACGAAACTTACTCTGTACAGCAAATGGGGCTTCACTGTCACTCGGACCTTCTTGCTATTCTTTCTTTGCTGA